ATATATATATATATAACAGTCAGGCACACAGATGTGCTTAGCAAGTGGCAGTTCTTATGCGGTTCCTGGGCAAGTATCTTCAGGGCTGATATCGCCAGTCCCTGTGCAGGCCTTCCCCCAACCTGGAGACCAGCAGATCTGCTTCCGGTATTGGCTACTTCAAAGCTTCACTACTGAGTTAATGTGGATGTTGGAAAGTGGACTACAAGTTCCTTAGGAGCACTAATGAGATAATACTATGACAGGTTAAAAAAATACATTTAAAAATTATTTTTCAGGGGTTGGAGAGATGGCTCACCGATTAAGAGCACTGACTGCTCTTGCAGAGGACCAGGATTCGATTCTCAGGACTGGCATGGTGACTAACAACCATCTGTAACTCCAGTTTCAGGGGATCCGATGCCCTCTTCTGACCTCCATGGGCACTGCACATGGGTACACTTATATACATGCAGGCAATACGCTCATACACATAAAATAAAAATAATAAGTACAATTTAAAAAAAATGATTTTCCTTTGTCCTCATAATTCTCTTTGGTTACCACTTCAATGTACACGCATCACCTCTAGTTTTTGCACACTTGTGAAATGACAACATGGTCAGAGCTGCAGGGAAGAGGAGCCTACTCTAACCATGCCTTTCCTGTGCCTAGGCAAGATGAACTGTGTCCTACCCAAGGAATGTCCACAGAGCCCTCTCCTGTGACCAGCCATACCCTGAGCAGTGCCCCAGGCGGTCCAGATGTGTCAGGGCAAATCCTCCTCTCCAACACACCCCACAAGGGGAGGTGGACGAGGGTGAGCAGGTCTACTACAAATCTTCAAGGTGCTTTTTTTTTCAGTTGAGGGGGTGGTAACAGGCAGGCAGAGCTGTGTGCCTTCTACCATGTTCTCCCCTTAGTAACACACAACCTGATGTGTTACTCTACTAAAGCTTCAATTAAGAGTTCAACTTGTGTTTGAAAAGGGGCTGCTTGCATTCTCAGCATGTCTCTGCACTCTTCTTAAACCTTCTGCATGGACGATTAAGTGCATCCTCTGAATCTCCTTCTTAGTCTCTCCCACTGTCTTTTCTCAGCTTCACTGTGTGTCACTTTCTCTCCACGCCTTCTCCTCCATCCGTTTAACACGCCATGATTTCTATCTCTAAGCATCTACATTCTGAACACCTCTCTCCTCAAGTCCATTCACATCTGCAAGTTCAATAACCATGACCAGTTACTCTAACATCTTGCTTCATCACACATATAAAACCAGGTACCACACCTCCTATTCCCTGCTTCCAACAAAAAACAGATCCCTCCCTGGATTTGTTTGTATGAATGGCCCCATCACTCTCCCTGTCACATATAAGGAAACCAAAGTATTCTTTGAGGTTTCCTTCTCCTTTCTGGATGTTCAAAATACATGTTGGTTCCAAATCCAGCAATTCCCAAGTCCATACTCTCTCCTGTCCTCCAAATTCCCACTGCCACTACAGATTCAGGTTTTCCTCGTTTTTCACAGACGACTCTGAAGTTTCCTCACTGATGCTTCTTCCCATAGTCTTCCTCTGCTAGTTAATCTTTCTGCACATGCCTGCTCAAAGCAGTCTCTCAACACAGAGCCTTCAATGAGTACTGAGTACCAAACTGGGAAGGTTCAGTCCGCATCTCCAATGGTGCCTCCTCTTCCTCATACACCACACACACACACACACACACGCCCTCGCACATGCACACGCATACACGCACACACATGCATACATGCACGCACACGCACACACACGCACACACTCTGAGTCAAGCAGCCTTCTCTCTAGTTTCTGAAGTAGTCCCTCCGTTACGCCCCTCACACTCTGCAGTTAACTACAAGTGCTGCCCCGCTACTGCCCCTTCTCCAAGCACAAGCTCTAAGTTACAAGCACAAAAATACACCTTCCTTTCACCATGCACGTCCACAGTTCTCACTCACATACAGTTCAGGTATTCTGTGATGAAGCACTAGGCAAGCTAGTTTCTCCCAAGGAAGCCCACACGGCTTCATTCATCTTTATATCCTCAGTATCTAGCACAGTGGATGGCCCATACATTTTTTTCAAATTGAAATTGATGGATTTGAGAATGCCTAAAACCAACCTACTCTGGGTGTTTTCATCAAATAATGTAGCGCAGGACTGTGTAGAAAAGTTCAGGAGCAGTCCTAGACATCTGGGCAACATGAAACAAGATGGTAACACTCACACACTAGTGCCCGCTGTAAAGATGAAGGCCAAGAATCCAAGAGGCACAAAGGGTGGGCCCTGCCTCTGTTCTTCCAAGAGGCCACTGGGTACGGCAGAACACAGAGGAAAGGCCCTGCCGACCGCAGAGGAGAGTGAGAAGGAAAAGACTGACTAGGAACAAGACCCTACACTCCACCTGCAGAACACAAGTACCCAGGTCACAGACCCCAACACAGGCCTGCTCACAGCCACTGCTGCTCATCACCACCATAACTCTCACTGCTCTTGTCTTCAGTGGCACTGACTGGCCATGTACCAGCTGAGCGTCAGGCACTGTCTAAAATAGCTCTTCCCTGCCCATCAGTTGATGCACCTGGCAACTCTACCAGGTCAGTATTATCCATGTTTTAGGCACAATGAAACAGCATACTACCCGGGTTTTCATGGCTAATAGCTCACAAGATATGGCCAGAATGTCAGTCAGGATCAGATGTGCAATCCATTCTCCCACTGCTGTTGCTCACATGACAGAGTGCACATAAACTGCAGGCTGGCTTTTCAGCTTTGTACTGTTCAGTTACCTCTAGAAGCACATGTCTGTGTCCCTGCCATTACAAAGGCATTTTCTTAGAGCAGAGTCCATCTAATATTTTTTATTTCTTCCTTTGTATCTCATAATGAGCCTCGTAAAAACTCAGTACTTGATTTGCTTAATATTATATCTGGATAACAGAAATAATGAGATAGACAAATCTTTAGTTAGCATGAAGTCATATTTATGAATTGGGTAAGACTTTAAGTCATCAATAGGAAGAGGCCCTGACACACAAGCCCCAAGTACAAAATCAAGGATAGTAGTGTGTTTAACACGTAATAAAACTGATCTCTACAAATAGTGTTCTTTTCTGGTAATAAGGACAGTGATTACTTTGATAGGTTCATTCTACCAAGCAAGTAAACAATGTAGTTAAATGTGAAAATAAATACACTTTAACTAATTGGAAAACCTTCTGTGTTTGTTTCCAAAAGTGTAAAAATCTGAGTGGACTTGCACCTTCTCACAGGTTTTGTTCTGAAGTTCACATCAGCACATAAAGTAAAACCAGTTAGTGACAAAACACTTGAAATTACCAGAGCCCTTGAAAAGTCCCTTAGACTACTTTTAAAACATGGTGTATGTAATGCAGTGTCCATTTTCAGCAAGTCCACCATAGAGAGCAAACCACCATGTCTTCTTCCATGTGCCACCTAAGGTCCCATGTTCGGGGACCATGCTGAATGAAGCATACATGTACACATCGGAGTCACAGATGACACCGTCACACTCAGACCCTACCAGCTTCCAACCCCGCCTGAAACAGTGCGTTTTCATTGTCTCACACATTAGGCATCTGAGCACGCGGGGAAGAACTGCAGTAACCGCATCATTCAGTGACATTTTGAGTGTTTGGAGCTGGCTTTCATCTTCAGCTGAAAGACTTCGACTTGACTTACTCTCGGAAATACGTCCCTACTGTTTATTTCTTGTGTGCAACCACAGACGGTCAGAATTTTAGGTACAAACAATCTAGCGTAATAGTGTTCCACTTTCAGTCAGCTTTCTTACCTTCATCTATTGACGCTTCACTACTGTACCCATCGTACTCCGCAGACAAAGGGCTATATTTTTGCCTTGTTTCCCAAGCATAGTTCTTTTGTCTAGATTCCACCAACGGTAGCCTGGAATTGTGTGTTCTGGACAAGGCTTCGTGATATTTACCCAGTGCTTCATCTTCACTTTCAGAGGATGAACCAGGCTCATCTCTGTCCATATAGGAATTATCTATTTCAAATAATAGGAAGAGGAAATTCCAATTTTAATATACTAAAATGTGGCAAATTTATTAAAATTTATTTACTTACACACACATATATATACACACACAAGCACAAATAGAAACAGATATATATGTCAGCACACAGAGTAAAGCCAATTAGAGACAAAATAATCCTTAAAATTATTGAAATTCCTGACAACTCTTAAATTGAATTTAAAGCATATTGTAACATTCATGTGTGTATATAAGTGTATACATACATGATCTGAATTTTCACCTCTAGAAAATAGAAATTTTCATGTAAGAAGATCAAGTGCCAGATTTCTATGTGTTCACAGAAAAAAATATATATACATTCTAATTATAAATAATCTCAGTCACAGGGATTTTTTTCCAACCTTGTTAGACACAAAGGAAATTACAATTGCCATATTACATATTTTTAAATGATCAGTTGCATAAAAATGAAATTATAAGTACTGTCAGTACATGTGGACTGGATTCAAACAATTTGTGTTACAAGAAAAATTTTTGATTTTCATTTTGGCTCATACTTAGAAACCAGCAACGCTTAGAGTTAAGAAGGAAACAGAGACGTGGGCAGACATAACCACTGCTGAAACTACAACTGTCACAAGTTTTACAGAGCCAATTGACAAGACATATCTAACACCTGACTGTGTGGTCTTCAATCCATTTCTAGAAATATGCCAAGTCCTTTTCTAAAAATTAAGTCTATGGAAACAATAAGTGAACAGAGATATATGTTTGTGATATACACTGATAGCAAAAGAAAACAAAACAACGGCCAACATGCCCATCAGTGGGCCTTGGTCAGGCAAATGAGAACGCATCCATGCAGTACTATAGATCAAGTCTTTGCAGCCCTGAAAGTGAGCAGGTAAGCCTATGCATCACAAGGAAAGAACAGAAGATGTGACTATTTTTATTTACTATATATAGTGCCTACATGTCTACATGCAGTCCATATACACAGACACAGTATGTATATGAAAGGATAGATACCAAACTACTAACACTACCTGTGAAAGATAAGATTACTAGGAAAATTTTACCTAAATATAGCTAAATTTTAAACTTTTCTAGCATTGTAAAAGGCACTAAAGCGGCTAAGAATTCATTATTCACGATGTCAGAAGTACTGCCCAAAATGTAGCTAATAGTCACACATGACTACTTAAATTTAAAATTAAAACTAAATACAATTTAAAATCCACCTCTCCAATCCGTGAGCCATTCTTGGGTGTGTAGTGCCACATGTGGCTTGTGCTTCCTCTGGAACAAGTGCTGAGGTTAGCCCTCTGAGTGCCTTGTGCAATACCAGAGTGAGGCTTCATGGTAGCAGGAAGGCTATGAGCTCCTCATGGAGGGTACAGGTCAAACTTGATCTATTCTAGAATGCTACCTGAAGGGAACTTACACTCAGGAACAGAGGCGAAAACTCTCCTTCCTCTCTACCTTGTATGTCCTACATAAGAACCTACAACATAGCTCCTCAGAACATAACGCAACTAACCAAAGAGTTAAACAATGGGCCAGATACTTTCAATATGCTCATGGGATGTGGCATATTTAAGGTTAGTACTGACTCTGCTCTGAAATGCTTGAAAGCTTTTCGGTTTCTTGAGGTACCAGTGTGCTTCTCAATGAAAATAAAGCAAAACAAACTTGAAGCTTTGTATTGTTGCTTGCGTTCAGTCCTGGTGGCCATTCTACTGTTATTTTCTGAATAAAATTATCTGTTACTTTATTTCTTTATAAGTAACAGGGCTACCAGAACTAAACAAGGGCTACCAAAACCCAATAAACTGGATGTTCCCAAGCTGCTGTGAGAATGGGCTCTATAATGAACACATCTTCACAAACTGGTATTCCTTTCTAATTAGCTCACAGCACAGGATCAGCCTCTCCACGCCATTTGAAAATCACTGTGTGATAAATGTACAGGAGCGCTCTTTCACAGCTGAGTCCATGTAGCAGAACTGACTGAAAAGGGTCTTCCTTACTCATCGTTACTTGGGTTTTTGGTGTTTTATGAGAATCCAAATTTACAGAAAAATTACAGGTGTGTATTTTATAAACAAAAACGAGTATATCTTTGGCCTTATGATCAGATCAGCAAGGGAAAGGATAAAGGAGTACAGAAACAATTACCAACAGTACGCAATGCAATGATGTTTTGAAAATTGTCACAAATATTGTAGCTGAGCATTATAAATACTCCGAATCTCCACTCCATATAAGGAACTCATGAATAATAATGGACTGCTCGTGTAGACTCATCATGAACTACAGCTGTCTTTAAAAGCTTTAAGGTGTAGCTAAATGAATAAAGGCATATTCAAAAGCATGTTATTTCATGATAGAAGATCTACTGCTCTTAGGGAAAAATATACAATATTTTACATTAGAGTCTCTTTTGGGCAGATTTGAAGACTGATGTTCTATAACCAACTTGGGACTTAAATTATAAAATTTTAAAAATTAAAACATGAGTATCAGACCAAAAGTCCAATTAAAGTATGTATGCATAGAATTTTTAGCTGTAAAATAAACAGTCATTAAAACTAGAAGAGAGATTCGGTGGCTCACATCTGTACTCCCAGCTCTTGTGGGCTGAGACAGGAGCATCTCATGTCCAAGGCCAGCCTGGATTAGATAATGAGTTTCAGGCCAAGTGGAGCTGCAAAGTAAAACTGTGGTTTTAAAAACAAGCTGAAAAACTGCTCATATAACATGGAGATCACAGGTAATAGTTGGTGGTATAAAATAACATGAATGATCTTAAAATGATTATGGAGAGAAAAAAATCTAAATGGCTTTAAAAACACCTCCTAGTAAGAAGATCCAAGAGAATCTTACATTAGATATATAGACATGGAAAGGAGAGAGATTTGAGTGCTTTTCTAATCTTAAAAAAAAAAATTTCAAGAGAAAATGTAACCACTCGAACCAACATGAGGAGACCTCACCTTTTTCTGGAAATATCTTAGAATATTCGTCAACTTTACTCTTTGCTGCCCCTCTCTTAGCAGAACTGGTTCCGTTTCCCTTTATTTTTGTGTCTCCTTTCATTTTGTAGGATTGGACTGGATTCGTTTGCCCTTTGATTTTCCCAGGAAACTTCTCTTTAGAATTTGCTGGTGGAACCGGACGCGCAACTTCTCTGTGGCTGTTTGCCACAGTGTCTTCTAGAGAGCACTTCTTTCCTGGACACGCACCCCCTGGGAGCCCATCATGTTTGGTATGCTTTTCAGCTTTTGTAAAATGATCAGAGTGCTCTAAATCAGGAAGATGCTTCTTTTTATTGCCCACCCCCTGCTTCTCTTGATGTCTTCCCACAAGTGCACGTGGAGGCCTAGTATGTCCCTCTGTTTGAGGGTGGTCTGAAGCCATGCACTTCTGTTCACGCAGCATGTTCTGTGCGCTGGCTTTGTCCTGGTACCCTTTTGTTTCTTGATAACTTACCTCCTTTACATCGTTCTTACTGGTCTTGGAGATCCCTGCCCCAGTTGCTTCACACTTGTTGGTACACTCAGTTGCTTCACACTTGCTGGTACACTCAGGCTCATGAAATGTTGAAGCAGGACCAGCAGCATTTTCAGTTTGTGGGTGACAAACCTGAAGTACCTGCTGCCTATTGTGAATAGAGAACCTCTGTTCATGTGTCCCTGGTTCTTGCTTTTGTGTAGTTGAAGTGTTGTCACAATTCGTTTGCTTTGCTCTATGCTCTGACTCAGACTGTACTTTTGGGCAAGCGGGGTTTTTGGAGATGTCCCACAGCATGGCATCTTTGGCTTCAGAAGGACCTGCAGCCTCCGCTGCTACACAGCGCTCCTCCTCCGAGCAGAAGCCATGCACCAGGCTTGCCACCTGCCCAGCCAGTGAGTCAGTCAAAGCATATCCGGCCTCCCCAACTGCAGTGCTCAAGTCTTCTACAGCACTACTGATTGTGTCCACTAGGGAGGACACTGAAGACAGATTCTGTTGAAAACTTTTGAAAAATGCCATTTTCCACAAGTTTCTTGTTCTTAAAAGGTGTAATAATGGATTTTTTTTCTTCTCAAAATATCTACTACTTTAAAACACGAATTTAACATTTACTTAAATGTTGTTATCAGTAGCTCAATATTAGTATTTCACACTGTGGCTTATAATCGTTCTGTAAATGCAAAATGCATTGAAAGACATGCTGAAGTAAAGACTCCTCCGGAAAGAAAAAAAAAAAAAATCAAAGCACTTGGTGTAAGTTTAATGACATCTTTTCCCACTCCATAGCTATCAAAACAGCTGCAAGACAATAGCTCTCCCTCAGATACTACTGGGCTTTTAGTCTATACCTGAAAGAAGAAGTATAAAAAGGGTATTTGTTATGCGATTTTGTTTACTTATTATGAATAGCCAACATGAGGAAACTGCCCTATTAATAGGTTACCAATATTTCGAATTAAGAACTGTATTAAGAGGAAAATAGCTCAATAATTTGCATGGTGTTAAAAACAGGGGAGAGGAAATAAGAAGTGGGACATTTGCTGAGGTGCATGTCCAGGCATTGCAGTGGACTCACTTAACCTTACCTGATTTTATAGTAACATTACAAGGGGAAACTTATTTCCATTTAACAAGTAAAAGAAAATTAAGAATAAAAAAAGGGTGTCTCAGATATTTTCAAGGGCTCCTCAAGATCATACCATTTGCCAGTGACAGTAAGGGACTGTTTAACTTTTCCATTCTCAGCCCCTTACATGTGCAAACTGGGGTTTTTGTGGGGTGAAGGACAGGCCAATTACAACAGCACAGCAGCTGATGCAGCTGATGCTTACCGTGCTGGCCCTCACAGGCATATGTGAGACATACAGCACAATGCCACTCTTCTCTCCAAACTCTCCTTTTTGGCTTGGAAAATGTCTTTTAAATTTTTTTGAAATACTATTTATATTCACATGTAATAAGTTTATTGTTAATGCTTGTTTTATAATTGATAACAGCTGAGGATATAGCTCAGGAGCAGAGCACCTGCATAAGGTGCAAATGCTTGTGCTCAATTCCCCTTTAACAACCTTCTCAAAACAATCTTTTCTTCAAAAAGAAACTGGTAAAAGTATTATTTTTAAGTTTTCTCAATTCACTATCTAATTGGTATACAGTAATAAATATACATAAACAAAAGTTCTTTGGGATTTAAAGAGGTAATTAACCCACAGAAAAAACATGGGAG